AGTTGAGGGGCGCTAATTTGCAAAATATGACGATTTTTGGGGACGAGAGAGTAATTTTTTGGGGGGGCGTGCTCCCCCACGGCCCCTAGATACGCCACTGTGAAGGAGCCGTTATTTCAACAAAAAAAAAAAACAATGCCTGAAAACGAAAAAAAACCCAAAAAAAAACAGCAGCTTCTATTTTCTGATAGCACCAAAAATAATTGCTTTATAAGCCGCATGGTTATCTCATCTAACCTAGCCTAGTTCTAGGCAGGAATACATCATGTTTGCTAATGCCATCAGGCAAGATTAGTCAGACTTGACCTGTACGTTCACCTGGGCCAAGCAACAAAATGGTCTTTGTGGTGTTAATAGTAAACAAGTTTTGTTTGATCTTTTTGCACACGAGCTTCTGAAAACATACCAGACTCTAATACAAATTAGTGCAAACTTGAGAATAGGCAAACTATGTGGAACGCAAACTGACGAGGTCATGGTTGAATTTTATTATAATTATTATACTATGTGATTGAACTGGTTGTTGTCAGCACCTGAATTAGTAGCTTGCGATCTTCCTCAATGTGTTTGTGAGTGTTCTCTTGCTCCTGCTTCTGTTCAGCTTTCATCGGTACGTTGATGTTCACTCGAAGCTTCTTGCTGCAAACCATAGAAATGATTACTTTGAAACAGTGAGTTTATTTGAAGTGGTCACAAGTTGTTTAACAAAGCAAATAATTATAATATTACTTACATTATCAATAATAATAATACTACATATGTTTATGTATTATTAATTACACAATCAATTACATCAAAAACATTAAAATAATAAAATTGTAATAAATATAATTAAGGAATTTACACCACACATATATTTCAAGTTGGCAAGAAAAATGCCTGTACTCAAAAGTTAAAACTAATATCTGTTTTGCATGGTTCTTTCCATAAAGATATGTTTGATAAATCTACTAAAATGTATGGATTTGTATGTATACACAGGTATTGAGTATTATTCTGTTTTGTGCACTTACTTTTTGTATGCAAGATAAAGTTTGACTTCAGTTGTAGGTTTCAGTTCTTCATCAGGACTATCACACTCCTAAAAAGTAATATTTCTGGTAATTTAAAATCAACCAAATATAACCCCACCAAAAAACAATACAATGTGTATAGTACAGTAGTAAAATAACTGCCCAAAATACAATACAATGTGTATAGTACAGCAGTAATATAACCCCCCAAAAAACAATACAATGTGTATAGTCTGTAATGTAAGTAATAAATTAGGTTTAATATTTTCTAGTACTAGCATTATTGACAGCTCCCAAAACTGGTCTCTCCTATTGTTTAAAGAAGCGTTCGCTATACGTAGACTACACCCTTTGCTTAACAATGGGCTCAGAGCTTCAAAAGAGCTTTCTTTGTTTTTGTAGGTATCTTTGATCATTAAAGTAAGAATGCTTTGATCTTTTGTTTAAATCACTGCTACGTCACCTACTAGAGGTAATGTTTTGATTGGTTAAACACTTTTGGTACTAGTGCATATATGCTTGCTAATATGGATAATTTTTCATTCCTGACGTTGACATAATTAATGTCGAAATATTGAATCTCAACACGATGGCGTGTATTTCAATACTTGGAGTATGTATTATACTTTCTTATGTGTATAGTACAGCAGTAAAATAACAACCCAAAGAACAATACAATGTGTATAGTACAGCAGTAAAATTTCAAGGTTTCAACTGAACTTCTGAAGTTATCTATGTTGGTTTCTTTCTGGAGCATAAAGTGCATCTGTATCCTGAACACTACATAGGGCTATATCACATAAAATATCAATTAATTTTTTATTAATATTCACAGAAACAGAATACAATAATTTTTCTCCTTTATGCAACTGTATTAATTAATGCAATACCATTATATACTTGTGTTTTATTTGTACATGAAACAATAGAAAGGCTGGATTTATGTTTTAGTGATGTAATACCTGAAAGCCAACACAAACAGCGGTGTATAATGTATCCCCCCTCCCCAGTGCGAGTTATTATCGAGGACAGTCCTTAGGGCTAAATGTTTAATATTCTTTAAAGCAACTGACTTTGATGCAGATCTATCACATCCTTATTTAACTCGCACAACATTGAATTGGGTTTGAGTTGTACATACTTTGTTATTATTTTCTGATTCAAACGTGTTTTTATTTGTAAGGACACTTACCAGAAGCTTTGATTTTACTAAAATCTGTAAAACCTGCATCACAATGTCCTGAGAAATAAAGTAAAATTACAAACAAGTTAAACACACAGCATTGAGAGACATATAACCATTATAGGTAGGTAGCAGGTCAATGGAACAAGGTATAAAAAAAATCTCACCATAGCTAGGAACACCAAGCAATCGGATACAAGAATCAAGCATTATAATTTTGAATTAGTTGAAATCCATTTAAGTTCCAATTTAAGAGCTTAATAGGTTAGTTATTTGCTGCAAACGTATGGCCTAAAATAACCAATGTCTTTTAAAAAGAATTTTATTCTAATAATATAAATCTAAGTTTGAAATGAATGTAAACAATAGAGAAAGACAGTACCATTTTGATCTGTGTGTTTTCTTGTAACTGTTGGACAGTGAATGACTTTGCCGAGTTGAACTGCAGTAATACCGCCATTTGAAATGTTGATGCCTGCAGAGTGTACCTATTCTTGAAGCAATTTGTCACCAGCTCCCCCTTGGACATGTGAAACAACCACATCAACTTACGGCCTGAATGCTGACTTGCATAGAATGTGGTGAAGCGTTGAAAACTTTTCTCCAACTGTTGTGATGAATAGTAAGTAGAGAAAACATACGTTATTCTGTCTTCTGTTAATTGAGAGCAACAGTTAGTGTAAACTGGTATTAATGATTCTGTGCGTCGTATTCTACCAAACTGCTTTATCAGCGATACAGTTTAAGCACATAGTTCTTTTTGGAAGATATATCTACAATTAGTGTGTTACATCATCAGTTATACTTGCTACAAAAGAAATTTTGTTGGTAGTCCAAATCACATGAAAACCTTCTTACACTTTGACTGCCAAAGACAGAGATCTCCGTCTTTTAAATCCGAACTGTTGACCGCCAAAGACGGAAATCTCCGTTGTTTTCATTTTCCTTTTTTACATGATAGAAGGGGTATGTCTGAATTTCTAGAAAATCTCTAAAATGTTCAAATCGGTTGGGACCACATATATTTCACTATTTCAATGTGATCTATTCTCAGTGGCCTCATATTGCATGGTGATACTGAAACGCGATTATCTCAGCTTCATTGATCAAAACTTACCTCACTTGGAAGGTTGAAGGCAAATCCTTGCTGAAACGGCCAGGAACCGGAGCTTAGCACTTGGATGGCAAAATCTATATCCAATGGATTGGTTTGTAAATGTCCCTTGAACCGCTCATTTAAGTCCTTACTTAATCCTATATCTTGGAACATTCGCTGAAGCTTTGAGGTGTATTCAAATCCACATGCTTGCTGAAAAAGTTAAATTAAAACACACACATGTTCAATTCAAGTTTTTGATTGCCAAATTTAAATATTTCTATTACATATTTATGTGTTTTGTCAAGTACTTTGCTTCAGGAAAGTTGGAACAATATAAATTCATAGACAGTGTGCTTCCTTAACCCCAAGGACCACCAAAAAATTGAGATGGTCTATATAGGATATTTAGGAATTATATTCAGTAACATTTATTCAAATCGAAATATGTGAAAGTAAACAATTAATAGCTATAAATTACGAATTAGGAAATTGAAAATGGGAGCCTGAATGGGTTAACCCCAAGGACCACCACAAAATTGAGGCCTATATGGAAAATATAGGAATCATTTAGAACTTGTAACTTTACTGATCCTTAACTGATAGTTGACTATATATACGCCTGTGCCCTGGATATTTGTTCAGTCTGTTAATTATTAAGATAAAAAACTTGTTAAGCTATGGGCTAATAATAATAGTTAAACAGCAACTTGCATCTTTCCATAACAGGGGCTGTATGAACCAGTACACCAGGGTGACCCAATACTCATTTTGAAAGATATATTGTTTTCTTTATAATGCTCATGAGCCAATTGTGTACACTGGGCAAATGATTGATTTACAGTCCTTATTCGAGAAGACTTGTTCCACCTCCAGAACCATAGTCGAGCATGCCATTCAAACCAGCGCCGATATTATGCCTGTAGGTTGTGGCGCCCCCACCTTAACTGCTCAGCTATTTGACTCGCCAACAATACTAAATGCGATAATAGAGTATTATTTTTACTATCATGAAATACTACCTTTAGTTTTGAGATCATGCTAGCCTCTGCATCATCGCTTGCTGAATTATGCTGAACTAGCCTCTTAGCCAGCATCTTAGAGTAGAACTTTTGGAAAACATCCTTATCATCAATGTATTTGAAGACAACCATCTACAATTTCAGAAAAGGAAAGGAAAATTGTAAATGATTATTTTATGGTAAGAATTGTTTTCACCAATGTATTGAAGATGCATTTGATATATAATCAAATTTTGAAGCGATATAAAAGATTAATTGATGTTTGAGATTAATGATGTTAGACTGTTCAGCAATCATTTTCATGATTGGTTTCTGTAAAATATGGTAGTAGTGTGTGATATAATAATACAATATTTATTATATTAAAAAACTGTTTAATTTTTGTATTTTGTCCAAAGATTACATGTAAGGTACAAATGCAACAATCAGTTACAGCAATAAGAGTCAATTAATCAACTTTATTTACCACTTGATTGAGAGTGTCCTCTAGTTCAGCTTCTTCAGGGTTCTT